CGAAGGCGTCCAATTTTTTACTTTCTCTGTCTGAAGGTGCAGAGTGTGTTCGTTTAGATTTTGAGGAGGATGTTACAACCATAGAGTTTGGTTGAGGATGGGAGAATAGGAATTCGGCCCCTGTCTCTTGGACTCTGTACATATGGTCGACACCGGGGCTGACCTCCCCCTCAGCAGAAAATAAAAGGGTTTTTTGATAGAACAACGAAGTAAAGGAATAAACTGAGGAAAAAATCCAAAGAGCCGTGAGGCAAAAAGCCAAAACACGTGAACCGATCAGACCGACAAAGAAAAAGGTATTTCCAATGCAGCGGTAAGAAAGGAACTGGCGGGATGTCAGCGCCCTCCCCTCTGGGCATGTGCGGTGGGGTTCCTGCGCATGTCCGAGGTCTGGGCACAAAAATCCGTTAAAAGAGCTTACTACAATGCCGTACGCACTAGATCCCATGGGTGTGAAGCACAGAGACCACACCGAAGATCAGTATATGTATGGTTCACAACCTTCCAGTTACTAGAAACAAACATCTCTCTTTCACATAGGTAAATGAAGTGTATCCTAAAATAGTGAAAGTGCTTCTATACTACTAAAAGGCAATCTGTTATAAGAAAGTTTAAAATACAACATTTGTACACTACTTTCTCAATCTGAGGTGTGAAGTATACCCCAAATTATTAAGGCACTCCACAACTGCTTACCTGAAGCTCACTATATCAGAGGCTCACAAACCCACACCTTACTTTATTGTAGTTCTTACAACTAACCTATATGGTAGGTCAGCCTTAACCACATACTGCAGATGGGAAGATGGTGTAGTATGGGAAGATGGTGTAGCAACTTGCCTACAGACATCTAGCAAGTTCATGGCAGAGGCAAGTTTTCAATCAGACGCATCCCAAAGAGATCTCGATTAATATCTAGCACTACACTGCACCAGTTTGCTAACACTGGGGTTTAAAGAGGCATGTCACTAAAAAATTTGTTTCATTTTTAGGGACTTCTAACAAAAGAAGCCCTTGAGAACAGAGCAAACATGCCCCGTTCCCCTTCATCAGAACGGGAAAGTCTCAGACACAATCAAACAGAAAGGGATCCTATTGGAAGGCTATGTCCAGATTACCGTATGGCATCAAGAAAGCAGAGAGGAAGCCCAGCCTTCTTCCTACTGCTCTCGCTGAGAAATAAGCTTACAGCTTGGCAGGCAGCCAGAGCATGGACAGAAGAAAGCCTGTATTAAGCATGTTTGGAAAAACAAACTCACTTCTGCCAGCATAAACGTGGCCTTTTTTCCTCCACACTCCACAGAGAATGATAGGACTTCATTGTGCAGTTCCAGTTTTTATGGAGACTGTTTAGAAAGGAGGGCCTTGTGAGCAACATTGGGAACACCTAAGACGAAACTCTGACAGTGCTGATTGGAGCTGAACCCCACTTCCTCCTAGCCAAAATATTATGGCAAAGTGTAAATATGCAGGGGGCTCCCTGCCTTAGAATATTCAGTTTACGATCTTTATAGTAAATCCTTTGCTTGAAGCTTTTCAGTGGAGAGGACACAAAAGCACAGGCACTGGAGACAAGGAACAACCCTTCAGCTTTAGAACGTTTCATACACTGCTTCCATGTTTTGAAGTACACATTTCTTACTATAAGGATTAAAATTACAGGTTGCCACGATTCAGTTAAAGAAATCTTCGGCCCCGGTCACACGGCAAAGTTGCCACGGGAGAGGCACGGATGGTGGGCGGATTATCCAGGCGCGATCACACCCCAACATCTGGGAAGTGGAGTGCACCCATGGCTTACCGCCGACAATGCACATTAAAAAATTAGTACCTCTGGAACTAGTAAACGTTTGCCACGGGCTGCCTCCAGACACCCATGGTGTGATCGCGCCGGCGCACGGCATTCCCCTCCAGTCCCTCATTTACCCACCGGCACGGAGGGAAGGACCCGTGGTGTGCTGCCGGCGCGTCTGATTGCGTAATTGCGGATCAAACTGCGCTGGGGCAATTAGCCACGCCTCCCCCCGCGCGATATCCAGCCCGTGTGAACGGGGCCTTTGTCAATCAGGCAGGTGTTTAACACTTTAAATGTGAATGTATGTGCATAAGAATAAAGATAAGAGATCTAAGAGAAAAACACACATCTCAACAAATATTATAATAATGGCATTTGCTTCGCTAAAAGAAAAGGGGACTAATTCAAACATGGTGCCACCCCCACCCCCCAAGCTGTGGTGGTAATTTTAGCTGAAAATAACCTATTAAACTACTCCTGTATGTGTGCATTTCCCAAATTCCTATTCAAAGACAATCCCTAGTCTGTGGCTCTGTCCCATTATTCCCTATCTTCTCATCAAACAGTGTCTGCATTCTTTGCCTTATGAGTAACAGGATATGAACAGAGCCCACAGCACAGCCCATTCCCATACAAAAGGCGGGCTGAACAGAAAACACAAGCTTAGTGTGGCTGTGTTGGCCTGAAGGCATTTCAATGTGCCAGGGGCCACCCATCTTGGCCACTAGGGAGCTGGGGTGGTGGTGGCCTACCTTTCTAGATTGCTGCTTCTCTCCCATTAGCAGAGGCTACATATATTTAAGTACACAGCTAGAAACACAGAACGCATGCCAGGAGAAAAAGTAGGATCTTTCTCACCGCAATGCACAGTTGGCACTGGTTCCTCATAGCTATGTAGGTCAGAGAGATCAGTATAGACTGAAACAGCACATATGTCTGGACAGCATAAGTAGGTAATGGTAGGTGGCATAAGTGGAAATGTCAAAACAGGGCCTCTACTAGCATTCAGAGATAACTGGATGTGCCTGGAGTTATTAGTAGAAAACAGTTTCATTCTTTTTGTTACCACTAAATTAATCTCATAGAAGCTCCCAGTGGAGCAATATTAATTTTTCCACCTCTGAGGATGCCAAACAAGTATGGATTAAGGGCTTCAGCAGCAGTCACTCCCTTCAGAGGTTTCGGACAAGGTTGTTTTATATCAGTAGATCACATTTAATCCCAGTGTTTCCAGTCTCTTGTGTTATTATTTCTTATATTTATATGCTTATTTCCATCTTCAGCGCAGGTCAGTGTGAGTGTACCGAAGTTTAAGAGTTTAAAGTGTTTTTACTTATGTGACAGATGATATAAACAAGAAGCTTATAAGGATTAACACCTAAATTCGATTACCAAGATTTTCACTGTGAAGAGAAAACATCAGTACCCCTTCTGACATCTTTAGAACTGTTTCCAAGTAAAACTGTATTACCCAGTCCCTTATGCAGTAAGATATGAATTCTTAAATTAAAAATTTCCAAGTACACAGCTCTGATAGCAAATATATTATGAAAATTGTCGATGTTTCCAGAGGATGCCAATATTTAAGCACCAACTCTTCCCCAGCTTTTCCCAACCTGTTTTCAAAATGCCCCTCTCACAAAGTTTTCTCGTCTTAAATGCTATGATTATTTCCCTCCTCCAAATATAATTATACACTTAAACCATTACTTTTCAAAGCATGTATAGCTTTACATTTCAATTCACTATCTTCTTTGACACCTCCGTGTTCTTCTGGTGTCGCATCTCCCAATCTCTTCCTTTTCATGCCACCATATTGCCATGTAAGAAAGTTTTCTATGTCTGGAACCCATCTTTGCCAAATACCTCCTCCCATACCCACTACTTTTTCTGAATTGCTGCCATTAGCTCACATCTACACATTCCAGTTAGCTGTACCTTCCACCACCCATGTCCTAACCAGAGATGTAACATATCCAGAAATTTTGAAATCACGAAAGAATGCAGGATCTTTTCCTCTACAAGCACACAGAAATTTTAAGAAAAGTTTAAACATATGAAATACCTAATCCATGCTAAACTTATTTTATTGTCAACATAAAATGCATAATTTATAACTTAGCAGGTACAATCTTGTTTATGGAATTTGAGCATACACTTCAGAATTTTTCTATATGCAAAGCTGCAAATAGACACAGTGCTACGGAGAGCTGCAGACTGCTGCCCCCTATGCTACTCTATGACATGTCATAGTTCCTGCCATCTGAAAGGCAGGAAACAAACAGTTGAAAATAGATTAATGAAACAGTTGTATACAGTTACACAGACTAGCAATCTATTTAGATATAGATTTAAACTGAAAACAGAAAGCATGGCATAGTTATTAGAGTATCAGACTAGGATTTGGGAGGCCCAGGTTCAAATGTCCAATCTGCCATAGAAGCTTGCTGGGTGACCTTGGGCCACTCACACTCTCGGCCTAACTTACCCCCACAGGGCTGTTGTGAAGATGGAGAGGAGAATGATGCAAGCTGCTTTGGCTTACCATTGGAAATCAAGTCAGGGTAGCAGCCTACTTAGATACACATTTAAGCTTTTCAACTAAAACAATTAACACTTAAACAGGGCATTACCACCACAATAATTGTGGAAGAAATTACTTCCATTTAAGTAAACATACTCTGGGAACAAACATAGCGTATATTTATGGTATATGCATTAATTCTGTAAGTTATTTTACATTAAAATCATTGAATGAGTAATCCCCCATTTTAAAAAAGCCTTTTACTCATTCCAGAAAAGAAATATAAAGGGTTTTCTCCCACCAAAATGGAAGAAGTTCTGACAGTTTCTTGCCCTAACCATCTGTGTTTAGACTGCAAGCATTCTATCAAAAACCATGATATTTGGTATTCTCTATTATCACCAAACACATGAATACCATTAACTATATAAACTCAACTACAGAAATACTATCCACATGAGTGACAAGGCTTTGGAAGGATGCCAGAAGACCAAGTAAGATTGCTCTGAAGCAGATAGCAGCGCAGATAGTATCTCAGTTGCCCCACTCATCTTTCCTCTGGTAAAGAAGTCCAACAAGCCAACATTTAGGCCTACTGATCCACACAGCCCCTTCTAATTATATTTTTCGCTCTTAGTGCTATCAAGAAAGGAAGAGACAGTAGCATTATAAGCAACTTACGCATTGCAGTATGGCTTCTTCTCATAGCCCTTGTAGTTTTTCATGTTGAGAGTCATCTTGCAGACCTCACAGTGGAAACATGCTTTATGCCAGAACTGGGGGGAAATGAAAAAGAAGAGTTGATAAATTGGGGGGGGGGGGGGAGCTTCTAATGGACTACTACTTCCTACCTGAAGGATGCTAATTTGGGCTGGAAATTGTATTTTGAATAAGGTTAGCATTCTAGGCAGGATTATACAGTGCCTGATTAGAAACTTCCTCAAGTGCCTTGTGGTCAGTCAACCCAAAACACTGTGTTTAATGAAAACTCTTTGGGGGGGGGAATCCTGAGTGTTCAGCTACTTTTGTTTTTAAGAAACAAGCATTAATAGCTTACACAATTTGCTCAGCCTGAAAAAAATTGTGTTATACTGACACAAGCTTGAACCTTAAAAGGAAATATTTGCAACCTGTCACCCAGCTGCAGCAAGAGGCCTCTAGTCAGACAGGAAGTTGCCTTATGCGGCCTTAAGCACAGAAACATAATCTGGATACGCCAAGCAAGGTCTCCCTTCACAGTTACTTCAAAGCCAACCTAGGCTTCCCATATGGTGTCAGAAGATGGCTCCTCCTCATGCAAGATTGATGCAGGAACAGCCTCAATTTCCAGATGCATAAAAGACATAATGCTTTCATTTTGCTGATGTGAGGATGCAAGAGAGTCCTGAAACCCCAGGACAAAATGAGTTAGCTGAGAGGCACTTTCCTCCTGCACAGTGCCCTAAGGAAGAAACAGACTCCATTCTGGCAACAGGCAGCATTGTTATTAAGCAACAACTACACTGATTGCAAGTGGAAAACGCCCATCGCGTGTCACCTGAAAAAAGGCAACACAATATGAACTGCCAAACTCTCGTAGCCAAGCTGTTGCCAGCAAGACAGTCCATGTTTTGTGGATCACTACAAAAGAGACTCCTGTATCTCCACTAATTCTTCCTTCCTCTGAAAGTCCATCCTAACTTCTTTCAACTTCCACAGCCTGAACACTTGTTCATGTAGGCCTGTTCATGCAAGCTGAGCAAATTAACCAAAGGTGTCTTTTTTGCCTTACACATACACCAAATTCTGCAGATGAGTTTCAGAGGTTTCAGTATTAAAAGTGCTGGGTAAAGGATATGGTGGACATCATGAGCTGCAATACACATGTTCAGGAAGACCCACTGGCAACTGTGTAGAGAGAGAGGCAGAGGCTACAGGGCCATTCACATCCAGAAGTTTATGTTTTTCAAATGTGCCAATCTTAAAGAAAATATTTCATAGCATTTATGATTTACTCAATCAGAAAAGTCAATGTTTTGGCAATAAAGACTTCCACACAAGAAAAGCAGACTACTATAAGAAAGAAAATTGGAACATACTCATTTTGGCAAGAGAAAACCAGAGAAATATATTGACACAAATTGTTTAACAGCACCACCCTTTCAGCAATGAGTAAAAAGCCATGCAGGGCTATGGAAATGAACAAGGGAGATGCAGGCCAATTTACCATTACAAGCCCAGAAATCCCACAGTCACAACAGCTTGACTTGTTTATAAGTCACTCTACCACAACTTCTCTATATCCATGGGGACTAGAAACTTGCTTTAAACACTGAAAAGCAATAAAAAACTCTATATAAAAAAACTTGCTTTAAACAGAAGGGAACAAGAATCAGTTCTGCAGAGACTAATAGATGTCATGTAATCTATGTTTTATGTAATCTTGTCATATGATCACCTCAATTTGGATTTAAGATCTTTTTCTGTACAAACCTTCAGAGTATTTCCTTTATCAAATACATAAGTTACAGATTTGCAAACGAGCATTAACATGTAGCAAAGCGCAAACTTATGCTTAATGTCCAAATGCATGACTGGGTTTAGTAGTCTTAAACCATTCATGCTCAGAATACTTAGCATCCACCCCTGAAGCAACTATGGAGAGTCTGGTGTGAATGAAAAGCACCACACCCAATATTTAAACATCACCACAACCCAATATGACAGAAGTAGGCAATGACTCATTACTGGAGAAAAGGAAGTCTTCCTCACTCTGACTGCCTAGAGCAACAGATTTGCACCTTCACCTGTGGGCCAACTCCTTTTGCAGAATTTTTTTACATTCTTCTGTTCAGCAGACCCCTCCGGTTTCCAGCTGGAAAAACCCGTTCTCCATTTACCTGAGATGTAACTAATTTCATGCTCCATCATGACATTTCATTTAAGATCTGCATTGTATTTTTCTTTTCTTTTTTGATGCCCACAGCATTCAAAAGTAAAGACAATTCCACCCCAAAACCCAAGACCTGACTCAGTGACCTTTGAAGCCCACCTAAAATACTGGCATTTGCAGAACTGGCCTCATACTGCAGACTTTTTTGGAGGCAGAAGTTTACAACTGATTCCCTGTGCAGATTTGTTTTGTTCATTGCAAAACACCTGGACAAGCAGAGCCTCAGGACATTTAGGCAATAACAAGTCTTCTGCCACCAAGATGCAAGTCTGCAGAGAAATAGCAATTCAAAACCACAGCCTTCCCACCTCCTGTACATATACAGACTTCAGGCTGTCTGCAAACTGTATTTCAAAAATACACAGCCAAGACCTATGCAATTCACAATTCTGATGTTGCAGCAGACAAGAAGAAACTGCTAATTTAAGTCATTAATAACAGTAAAATAGTAAGTATGCCACCAAGTATGTACCACTAAGAACTTGTAACCACATCGTTATTAACGTTGAGGCCCTTTATGTAGACCCGTAAATTGAGAACTCTTAGTCTACAGTATGTACAGTGTTCAGGATGTTTGCTAACTGGTTAGTCCGTATTGTTTTTAAAAATCCCCAAACTGTTTGAGATCAGTTAGGAGGAACCATACACATATGCCTCCACTGCTCATCTGTATGAAAATTAGGATGGACTCCACGCTTCCCATACTGGAAGCTCCTCTGGTACCACAGAGAGCACGGGTGTACTTATAACTAGAAACCACAAGCACAAAAAAGCATCTTCATACAACTGCACCCAATGCAGTCCAAAAAAAGAAGGAAAAAAGGACAGTACTACACACCATGCAAGATTAATATGGAAATCAAAACCATAGTTGACATATCTATCTGATGTCCACAACGCAGTGTGGGTGTTTGTGTAAATACAGCTGTAAACATGACAGAGACTAGGACAGACATGCGCAACAAGCTACAAAATGCAATGACCAGTTTTGCCTGCTGGGCAGCATCTAGTAAAATATTAAAACTCAATGAGGGAGTCCATTGTTGTTCACCCTCAGTCTTGTATTGGTGTGGTAGAATTCTACTCCATATCAAATGGTTATTAAAAAAACAGGAGGAAGAAAAATTATGAAACATTTTATATGTCAAATCCAGCTTATCACTACTTTTTATTCAATGAGGTTCTTAGCAGGACACAAGGTACAGAAGTGATGCACCACTGAATTAGCTGTGGTCTCAAAAAGTAGTTCCTACAAAAATTATCAACCAACATTTTATATCCCACAATGGAGATCATTCAAGAGTCTCAGTTCTGATTTGGGTAATAGCAGTCCTCACAAACACCTCATAGTGGAAGTAAATACTTAAAACACTTAAAATACTACAAGGCAGAAGTTTCCCCATACCCACACTTTTTTTTGGGGGGGGGGGGAACTTAGCAACTGCAGTTGGAATTAAGCCACCAAAATCATACTACCAACTATGGACAATACCAGGAAGTGGGAGTTATATGAATTGTGTTATCTATAAAGCTGATGGGATAGGGACTTGAATACTAAGGAAAATTACACTAAACTGAAATTTTTATATAACCTGCTAGTTGGCTCCATATATGGAAGTGACTCATAATGTCTTATTAACATTTTCCCCATAACATCAGTCTAATGCAGTTCTCAGCTTACCTGACTTACGATCTAAGAAACTGGATATGGTCACAATCTGAGCTGATCAATGGAGTCCCCCCCCTGCACAATTTTTGTTTTGCTGGAAGTTCCAGTAGACAGATCGCCTGAAGTGACAATGCTCAATCTGGTGACCAGGCTAAGTCCCAAAATAATTCAGAACACATGCAACACCAAATGTACAACCGAACTTCATATGAATCTCTGCTTGAGTTGAATTCAACTGCACGACAGGGAGGGGGGCACCTGTCACAGCTGTAAATTTGAGATAGGCCCCTTCCTTCCTCTATTCCCTTTGGAAGTACTTCCAAATGTAAGCTTGCTTTGAATGGCACTAGGTCAAGGGGGCTACTGGCTATCTGGCACTGTTAAATTCTGTCCCACTACTGTGTTAAAGGAAAGGGCTCTCACTGTCTACACCTGAAATCTCAGGAATAATCAATACTGGAGTGAGACTTCACTTCCTAGGCACAGATACTGCCATTCACAACCCTAACATGGAAATAGTTCTGTACTCCTTGCCACCTTCAAGGAAAGTGTTGCACAGCATATGTAGCACTGGAAAAATCCCAGATCCTGATACTGTATTAACTGAATACCTAAGAACTTGAACCTTCTTTCAGTGGGCAGGAGAGGGAAAGACAAGTGTGATTACCATGTGGCAGACAACTGTAAGAGACAAGTGACTGACAGAAAAGGCCAGCCACTCCTCATTGCTTTGGTTCATGCTTTTCCTTTGAAAAGGCCAGCCACTCCTCATTGCTTTGGTTCATGCTTTTCCTTTGAAGTCAGTGTCCTCACAGAACATCCTCCCTTTCAGGATGATAAGGAACCATATCCATATTCTGCAATTGTCTATCCACAGGAGGCTCATTAGATAATGACAGCAGGCCCATTCATTTAAATCCACAATTTACTGTACAGCAAAAAAAAAGATGAATAGCTGGGCAAGGCTAAGCTCTCTCACCTGTAGCTTACCTCTCCACAGTCTGATCCCCTAAGTGGTTTTTTAGCTCAGCCAAGCTCAAATACTATAACAAGGAGTTAAGCAGTAAGCATAGCCAGGATACAGCACTCTCTCTCTCTTTGTACCCCTGCGGCAACTGAGGTTTAAACATCTAGCATGACCATCAGATGCCCCCAGAATATGGCAGGAGGGGGAAGAGTAGAATCTTGTATCAAGATATCTTCATTTTTTTACAGAAAAAGCCACAAAGACATCTTCCTGGAGGGAACAGCCCCGAAGTGCAGGTATTAGCAACCAAAAGACAAACTAGAATTGACACTTTCACTGAGAATATCAACAAAACACACACAACTGATTTCTCCTAAACTATGGAGTTCCACAGGGAAGACGCTGCAATTTAAAATATTTGTAAGCTACTTTAACTGCAAAACAAGGAATCAATTCTTACAAGAGATCTATAAAACCAATACTAAGTTTTGAAAGTTGGAAACACTGCAGAACAATCAGTTCAAAGGGTGGAGCCAGGGGACCAGAATTTAATGTAAAGCAGATGATAGCTAGTTATTCCCCGAGAAGCCTTCTTTTCATTTTGTCTGTTGAGACCCCTAACTGTGTGTGTTACCATGGAATAAAATAAGCACTGGTATAATTCTGTTAATTGTTCATGAAAAGCAAAATTTAAAATACTGGCAATGACACATATTTTTTTAAAAAAACCAACAGCCATCAAGGCAGTTCAAAAATGTTTTTTGACCTTGGCAGTCAAGTCTGGAACATCCCCAACACCAATTCAGTTGTTCCATAGTGTGTGTTTTTCCCCTTTGCAACATAAACCCGAGGAACTGAGAAGGTGCTGTTCTCCAGCAGTATTCTTTTATGCCACACTCTCTTCTTGAGAGAATGGAGAAGAAATGCTATCAGAAATGTAAGCAAGCTTATGTCAACTGGACTTACCAGCAGTTTAACAAAGAAAAGAGGAAAGAGAAAGTCAGGTTTGGGGCCTGCTGCGCTTATTTAGGTGAGCTCAACTCACATACCTTCCCACTAAACGAGAATGCTATAATATGGAAGATCTGCTTTGGCAGCCATCATTCACAGGGAAAGAAGAAGGGTGCTAGATATAAGATTCATACACACAATCACTTGCAGTCATTTCTCCTGTTGCTATTGCATGCTTATGGACCTCAAAACAATCCCCTGCTTCTGTCCCTTAAACCCAAGTCTTTCCCAAAAGGAAGACTGTTGGGAGACAATGTGTTAATTCCCAGATATTCTAACCCCTTACTCCCATTCCATCGAGAATCTCAGCTGCCTAACCTTTTGACTCCAAGTGAAATTACACCCCGCCCACACACACAGCTTATCCCTACCCAATGACATATGTGGGACCAAACATCTGCAGCCTACCAAGTCACTTCTTCATCCCCAAAGGGACCAGCTGTTCACAGATCATCGGTCTTATTAAACCCTTCCCATTCTGCCTCCTTTCTATAATCCCTCCTCCCAAAGTCAACCACCAAATTGCATTTCTCACTGAGGCAGGCCAGATACACTACCTTTGACCTACCTAAACCAAGCCAGTTATCCTCCACAGGCAACCCCCCCCCACACACACACAGCCTCCACACCCCATTCCTCTGGCGTGCCTCAAAACTGATTTCCTTGTCACTTACACCCCTAGAGGCAATTTAAAAACAAACACACACCCCTGTTTATTCAATCCTCTTTGTTCCTCCACCAGAACTCTGCACTTGCTGCCTTCATATCAACCTGTTAGCCCACCCAGACCTGTCCCTCCCTTCTCCCAGGCCCCTCGCCCATTCTCCACACCCTTCCCTCCCCGGTCCCTTCTCAGCAACTCCTACCTACTCCCCCCTCCCTCAAGCCTTCGCCTCCCCGCTTTCTAATCCAGCCTGCCTTGGGTACCTCTTCCCATGGACAACTGCCCCTTCTTCACCCCCTGCCTTCCACCAGCCATCAAAGGCCCCCTTGCCCTCCCTTTGCGCCTTCCACACACTTCCTTATTCTCAGACTCTCCTTCCGGCAATTCGGGGCCTGCATCGCTTCCCTGCCAATTTCCCCCAGGACAGTGCTCTACTTTCCTCCCCTCCAAGCTGCCCCTTTCCCCACCCTTATTCCACCCACCCACAAATTGCCGCCTTCCCCTCCCTTATCCAAACCCTAACCCACCCCAGAGTCACACCCTTCCCCAACCCCCTGCCCCGTCTCCTACCCCCGCCTTCCCTCAAACTGCCCCTTCCCCTCCCTCATCCAAACCCCAACCCACCCCTAAATTACACCCTGCCCCCAGCCCCCATTAACACCTTTCTCGACCCCAACTTGCCCTCTTCTCCTACCCCAAGTTACCCCTTCCCCCTCCCTTTCCCAACCTCCAATCCACCCCAAGTTACTCCTCTCCTAACCCCCAATTTGCCCCTTCCCCTCCCTTATCCAACCCCGTTACTCCTTTCCCAGCCCCCAATTCGCCCCTTCCCCTCCCTTATCCACCCCTATACCACCCCCCAAATTGCTCCCTCAGCCACCCGTCAGTTCCCTCTTCCTCCCCCAACCCCCTCCCCCAACTCCGGCCCGTCTCCTCCCTGGCAGCACCCACCTTGTCGAGGCAGTTCACCTTCTCGGTCGGATACACGATCTTGCCGCAACGGGCGCAGCTCGGGTTCATGGCGGCCGGCGCGGAGGGGCTGCTGTGCTGGCTGCGGGGAAGCCAAGGAGGCGGCCGCGGCGGGGAGGGTGCCCGCAGAGGGGAATGTGCGCGCCTGCGGGGGTGAAGGCGAAGGAAAAAAGGGGAGAGCAGCCGCCCCGGCAACGTCTGGCAGCGACTGAGGGGGAGGGAGGGAGAGAGGGAAGGGGCGAGGCGAGCGGCGGCGGCGGCGGCGGCGGCGGCTCCGGACTCCTCGCCCGCCTCCGCCCTCTTGCTCGTCAGCACGCGCGGGAGGAGGGAGCGAGGGGCGGGGCGCAGTCGCGTGCGTGCCCCGGAGCAACGGCCGAAGGGGCGTGTGCGCGCGCAGAAGGGAAGACGGCGGGGCGGGCGGGGGTGAAAGAGACCGTGAAGTGGGCGGGGTCTCTCTCTAAGGATTGCGGTCTCCTAAGTGTCCCTGTGAGGCTTCGGGTCCCCCATCATCGCGGGTCTTTGCAGAGCGGGGTGGTTGGAGATTCTCGATTTTAAAGAACAACTCATCCCTCCCTTCTGTCGAAAATGTATCATGTTTTCTGCCCCGTAAAAGTAGAAAGAAGAGAAGCAAAGAATGTCGCCTTTTCACCCTCCCGCCAGCAGGGCTCCCTATTAAAGCCTTAGGGGAAACAGGAGTTCGGCGAATGGAAACGGAGTATCCAAGGGGGGAAAACGCTTCACCTGTTGAATTACCACTCTATTGGCTGATAGTTCCATGTCTTAATTTGCTAGCAGATGAGGGGGTGGTTGAAGGTACCACTCTTGAGTGTCCTTTTCAGCCCCTGGTGGTTACTCTGGGGGGGTCTCCTCACCAGACCCTTTGGGAGGGGGGCTTCCCCCAGCCGGGGACTGGCTTTCTTTTCTCCAAGTCACGGAGTAAACATATTTCTAGACAGAATGAAGCAGGCAGTGATCACTCTGCAGAGCAAAAAAAAAAACAAAAACAACTTTAGAAGGGCACTTCTAAAGGGCACTTTCAGTCTAATAAGGCAGGTCCACGTGTTCATGTATTCAGGGCTATTTTGGGGCAGGAACGCACAGGAACGGAGTTCCGGCTGGCTCCCGAGTTGGCCACGCCCAGCAGGAACTCATTAGCATAATAGGCCACACCCAACAGCAGAAACTCATTAGGATTGGCTACAGTAGGGGAATGTGGCCTAACATGCAAAGGAGTCCCTGCTACAAAAAAAGCCCTGGAACTTTGACAACAGACAAGGTAAACAGAATAAGAAGCAAAAGGTGGGTGTGGCTGGATGACCACACTTCTGGTAACATGGGGGTGCGGCCTAATGTGCTAATGAGCTGTGCTGTCGGGGTGTGGCCTATTATGCTAATGAGTTCCTGCTGGGCTTTTTCTACAAAAAGAGCCATTGATATTTACAACAAATATTTAAATATAGGCACAGGAGTTGTGGGCTCCATCTTTAACGGCATTGTGTCCTCTACTCCGGAACACACAAAACAAAGCTGTGGATGGGGAGGTGGAGACCAGCCTAGGTCTTCTATGTGGTTCAAAGATTGCATGATAGCCAGTTCAACAGACAGACACAGGAATTTGCCTATTTGTAGAGAAATGGCAATGGAAGACTCTTGAAATTCTGCCCATAAGCAGCCATTTGAAAGGGCGGGAATGTCTAAACAGAGGCCAATGCTGTGTCTGTAACATCGAAGGGCTCCTCTGGATCTTATGAATATGAAATTTCTTCTAGTTCACTAGGGGTGTATGCCAACAGACAACTAAGCTTGTTATTCCTGTTTGGTCCTTGCAGCTGTTAAACTTCTTCATTATGTTGTATGCTAATTTGCTGCTCACCCTCTACCTATATGTATGGACTGGTAATTTCCATTTCAATGTATCTGAAGAAGTGTGCATGCACACAAAAACTGGACTCGAATTTTGTTCTGCTGACAAATGTGTGTTCTTTGGGGAATCCAACTTTACAATCCTTGTGTTGTGTTTATTCAGCAGCAAGTCCTACCATGTTCAGCTAGTGGGGCTTCAGGATGTGTACTTAGAGCAGGAACCCAACCATAGAATTGTTTATGTGGGAGCAAGTCCCACTATGTGCAACTTGGCTTACTCCCAAATGAGTGAAGCTCCTGTTTTTCACAGTATGTGTGTGTGGGGGGGGACCCATCTTTATTTTGTTGGCCAGACACCTGTTTCTCCAACTAACCATTCTTGTTCCCCACTCCCCCTGCCAGTTCTAAATGCCCACATTCCGCTCTGTCCCCACTCCCTGGCAAATCATGCCATACAAACAAGAACAGACGAAAGTTTTGTTTCAGATTCTACCAGTTGGTTCACAATCATTGGTCAGATTGGGAAGAGGCCAGAACACAGAGGTTCCAAAATGCTTAACAAATCGATTACAGTCTCATACATGGAATGCCCTTTTTGGTTACTTTTTTGCTGTCTTCTTCTCAACCACACTCACCAACAGGTCAACTGTTGTCTTAATTTTTAAAAAAACCAAACTGCTAAATTCTATTCCAGCAATCAATGAGGGAACAGGCAAAAAAAACCCATTGACACTCCAGCTACTACACCACATTGGGACAGGGGTATTTCTAACTGGAAGGAGGAGCAATCAGTTTAGACGGTCCATTAGGATGCCTGTATTGCAGAACCCACTCCAGTTAGTGGATGGCATGAGATTATTTGGGCCCCGATCCCACCATGCTGAAGTGAAGATTGTGGCTTGGGAGCCTAATGCTGTTTTGAAGGGCCTTCCACTCACCTGTAACCAGCGCTCTTTCCCCATGCTTACACTGGCATAACTGCACACAAAGGCCCTTCCTCATTTGAAAACTGATCTCTCTACCCTGGCAACAGAACAGGGGGGGGGCGTCCCATACAATTCCTTGAAAGTCTGGTTTGGGCTTTGCTCCGGAGAATACTCCTTGTAGTTGGTGATTAATCCAGCCCTACCCTTCTGTATCAATATTCTTCATCAGGGCAAGAAAGCAAACAATCAGAGTCTAGACGTGAGCACCACACTCCATAACATGACAAAGAGCGTTTTGTGCCTCTCTTTCCGGCTGTCACAAGGAAAGCACAGCAGAGATCTTACTTGCAATGAGATCTATTTGCCACCTCCCCAATGGGTCTGCAACTCAGGGCAAATCTCTGGGATCCAGTGCCACTTTAGAAGATCCATGCTGATGTAATATGTTTTAAGGGAAAAGACCAGTGCTTGGAATCATGTCTCTTTGAAAAAGTCCCTGGAGGGGCGGGGACAAGACTATCGAAGATAACCTCTTTCAAAATTCTCCAGCCAACTGGTTAGGCCCTGGATTCAACCTGTGTGTGTGTGTGTGTGTGTGTGTGTGTGTTTAATCAAACAAACAAATCATAAAAGCTACCAGGAAATATTGGACATTAGCACCCTCTACTGTTATCTCTTAGAAACAGGAAAAGTAGTCCCTTCATCCTGTCATGAATTCTCTTTTAAGACACTTGGGGTGCGTTCAGACGGGGCATTTGCTACGGTATAGGTGCCGGTTGGAATCGGTGTACTTACTGGCATTCACACGGCGAACATCTGCCTTCCATCTCTAACCGTTGCAAAGAAATTTAAACCGTTGTATTCTGCCACTAGGTCCCCAAGTGGTGGTATCAAGTGCGACGGTTGTAATCGCTTCCCCCCCCCCCCATCTGATCGCTCTCCACTGTTGTAGAGCCACTTCTGTTCGGAAGCCCGGGGCTTCCGATTTTCACCCGCTTTTTTTTTTTTTTTTTGGCTTCGGCGATATGCGCTTGGGCGAAGCTTCGCCCCGGCGTTTGTTTAAACAAAAAAGAAAAGGTCCTTAGTTTAACGTTTCAGAGGAGTCCGGGACCTCAGGGAGGCCAGTTTGCTCTTTAAACTTTAAAGGTAAGTCCTCTCTTCAGGGCATGCTTTTCGGGAGGGGTGTATTGTGCATGCGCAAAGATCGCCATTCTGTGGATGGCTGCCTATGCGCATGCGCAAACTGAGTTTAAAAAAAACCGCCGACGCCCACTGTGTGTGAACGGGCATACAGCAATGGGCTCCGCAGTCAGGAGGTAAGTGTGATTGCGTTTCAGCCGGCATAAACTGCAATGGTTCCAACCGGTACAGTTTATGCCGGCTGAAATACCCCGTCTGAATGCACCCTTGGGGGAACATACTTACAAATTCCAAAAATGAATACTGGAATGACTCCTTGGAGGAAGAGACGGATAGCCAGGCACCTGCTGTGTCTGAACAAGGACATGGTATGCACATGCACAGTCGCCTTCCTCACTGGGATTTAGGGTGGATGACACAATGTAAGTTAATACAGTCAACAGGACAGGATGTCCAATAAACAATGCAATAGGATTTGGGCTGTAGAAATCTGGAACCCAGCAGAAATCTGCACAGAACCGACACAAACCATAAGCATCAACACGGCGTGTCAAATGATGGAGAAATCACACAGTTGGAACCTGCTTACAAGAACAGACAGCATGAACTATACACAGTAGTCTAGTCCACACAATCCCTAACCCTTTACCCAAGTATGTTTCTGAACCATAAATCAGCTGTAATGTTCCCTCTAATCCCCCCCCACTGAGTGGAGCAGTTCACGCCCTGAGCAGAATATAACCGCTGTAATCTTAAAGTGGGCAGTGGGAGATTCTGCACGGCTCCAGACTGCTGCTGAGTGGGGCTTCCTGTGTTAATGGGGCGATTCTGCATTGGCTTTTCCCTCCGTTGTTTTACAAAACCCACCTTGGAACAGAAATTCCCCTCTGCATTGCACGCTGCTTTCACCTCCTTTGATCATCAGATTTTATGGTATCCTCCGCACTCCATGCCGCTTTCCATTTCTTTGATCATCGGATTTTATGGTACTTTCTGCATAGATTTACGGACATTCAGGGGTGACTTTGCAGTCAGTACAGTGTTGCCCTGAGGTATCTGAATGTGGTTTTGAGCTGCATCTTTCCCTCCCAGATGAGAAACTGTGGAGCGGATGTTAGATGCAGAATCGTCCAATGAGTGGCCACTCTGCGCACAGGAGACAGAACACTGGACTTCACCCACCCCCACCCCCAGATTCTAGTCCAAAGTCACCCTCTAAGATGCCCACTCCTGTTCATTTTGGACAAAAGCCAGGCTCAGAAACACGAAATGCAGCTGTCTTCCAGCAAGCAAACCTACACCACTGTCTACTTCTTGTTTCCTCAGAAACTCCCCCCCCCTTTTTTCTAAATCCCAAAGCACAAGTAATACTTTGATTAGCGCCTTTCAAAAGCATCACACTTTAGTGCTCAAGCTTTGGAGTTCCCCCTGGCTCGATGTTAAAGGGGGGGCGGGCAGAGGAGGGGGGAAATCCATCACAGATGCGACAGAGCAGCTGTTCTGTCTGCCACTCTGTACAGCCTTCAGAGAGAGCACAGGAAGTGTTATACAGACTTAATTACATTAAGCCGTCTATTCTAGGCGCAAAGAACATCTCAGGTTAATTAATTCTGCAGGACACTTCCTCCTCTCCCTCTTATTTTAATGCCTTTGTTTATCTTAGACATTTATACCCCGCCTCCAACGGGGACTCTCAGCAATGTACAACCTTGTTCTCCTCCCCTCCATGTTATCCTCACAACCAACAGCCCCGTGATAAAAAGGCTGAAAAAGACTGACTGGCCCAAGATTTCCTAGTGAGCTCTAGGGATGCCAGCCTCCAGGTGGGATCCCCCGGAATTCATCTCCAGACTAGAGAGATCAGTTCCCCTAGAGAAAATGAATACTTTGGAGGGTGGACTCTAAGGTATTGTACCCCACTGAGATCCCTGTGTCCCCCCAGGCTCCACCCCCAATCTCCAGGAATTTCCCAACCTAGATCTGGCAACCCTAGACTGTGTTTCCATGTGCAGTGGGGATTCGAACCTGGGACTCCCAGCTCCTAGTCCAAAAGGAGAGCTTTCACCATGAGGCTGAGCGAACATTTTCCTCCGCCCCCGCATCATTTTGTTTGGCTTCACCTCCAGCCTGACCAATGAGTTCTGCAGAAGAACCCCGAAGCTCGCTCACTATTTCGTAACGCCGCGAGTCAGTCATCCTAATGAAAAGTATGATCCTTCTCGCTTTTAAAACCGTCTCTTGCTAAAGAAACTGCCCCCTCCCTGCCTTCGAGGAAATTTCCCTCCTCCACCAACAGAGCCACGCCAGCCAGGAGTTCGGATTGCAGAAGCGGCT